TTCGGCTAGCGCGGTTTGACGGAGGATTAAAATGAACAGGGGCGTTGCCAGACGAGAGATGTAATTCGATCATCAATGGTAGGCGAATATACGGCCCCATTACAAATATTTATAAAAAGAATCTATATCGTTTAAAGGGGTATCAAGCGAAGACAGACTTGACAGTTATTGATAAGGAGGCAAATGCCGCATATTTAGTTGATATATCCATCCCCAACGCACACAACATCGACTCTAAGAAGGCTGAGAAGATCCAAAAATATGGTATTGGTATTGGTATTGGTATTGGTATTAAAGGGGGGCGCCCTCGCGGGCGTCCAAGCACTTAGGCCACCAGATGGGCCCGTTGTGCCCCCAGGCCGCTCTAGAGGGCGTCCAGAATGCCGCCCCTCCTGTAGAAGGTCAGCAAATCCTTTAGCCCAATACCGTGCACTGAGTCCGGATCGATCAGGGCCGTTCCGAAGACTCCCAATCTTGCCCATGTCAAGGCAGGGCACTCGGTGAGCAGATGATACGGGGTCTCCTCCCCTTCCATGCACCACCTACACTCCGGGTCGTCTCCAATGCCTAGCAAGCAGAGATGCCTCCTAAGCCTGCAATGTCCTGTGTAGGCCCTTGTTAGTGCTCTACACTCCCTTCTGGCCAGTCTAAGCAGCTCCCTGGTCCGAGGAAGGGCGGGCCCATCCATCATAAGCCTAGCCTGCCTCATTCCCGGAGCAACTCTCCAGCCCCCCGCGGCCCGGTCTCTCGCCCAGGCTTCGAGAGCTCCCCGCCTCACACACGGGGCGATCCCCAAGCGGGGCTCTGGCCCTATATGCCTATGCGAGGAGCCCTCCCTGGCTAAGGCGTCCGCTGCCTCATTGCCCCGGACACCGGTGTGACCCGGAACCCAGACCAACGTGACCTTTCTCTCCTCAGCCATGAACAGGGGCGTTGCCAGACGAGAGATGTAATTCGATCGTCAATGGTAGGCGAATATACGGCCCCATTACAAATATTTATAAAAAGAATCTATATCGTTTAAAGGGGTATCAAGCGAAGACAGACTTGACAGTTATTGATAAGGAGGCAAATACCGCATATTTAGATGATATATCCATCCCCAACGCACACAACATCGACTCTAAGAAGGCTGAGAAGATCCAAAAATATGACGATCTGATTGATCAGATCCACCATGGGTCTTCTACCGACGGACCTGAAAACGCTCTTGGATTCAGCGAACATTGCACTATCGGTCCTGGAGGGGAAAGTTTGAGGACGTAGTCTTGCTGCCCCGCAGCTGACGTAGTCCTAATAACTAATAACGAAGTCTAGATGATTAAGTCAGTTACTCAACATTAGCGTCCCTTGGCAAATTTGGACTGTATCCTGTGCGTTATGTATATTTCAGAATGAATTTTAATTCCCAATAAAAACTATTATTATTATTATTATTACTATTATTATTATTTTACTCCCTACTTTTTTTTTATTGAAATATTAAGGGAATTTTGACTTATATATTTTTATATTGTATTCGCAAAATTTTATTGCGAAATAGGAAAAAAAAGCGTGTTATATTAAACACAACCTTACCACTGATTAAAGAAACATTCAATTTTAATTACTTTTTTATATATTGTGAATGTTATTTTTAATTACATTTTTAAAACATTTTCTCATATACCAGTGAATTAATATAATAATAAACATTTTCCGCTGGAATCATTTGAAATTGATCCTTTCGATTTAATCTAAGTAGACTCTTTACACCACTGACTGGAAAAAAAGTTTTCTAATCTCCTGAAAAAGCCGCGGCGATCTGGCCAGAGAATCCGGATTAATTTGCCACTTTACTCGTCCGGTGCTCCAGTATATTTCGATTTATTTGTGTTAGTGCCCACCCTCGGACATTCTGGATTTAAATCCATTAGATTAATGGCCCGGGGCGCGGGACGGATACTCCGTTGTCGGCCGTTAATACGGAGCAACTTTTTTAATGTAAAACTCGAAAAGATACTAAAATAAAAAAGCAAACGGATTCGATAATAGTGGGATTTAGCAGCCGGATGAAGATGGGCTTTTTTTTTGAGTCGGATTTTCCTAATGTACGCTGCCCGAACTCATAAAATATGTATGTGAAAATCAGCCGCGCAATTCCCAAGAGAAGACTTTGTTGAAAGAATACGACAAAATTCTTGAAGATAAAAAGCCGAATAAAGGACCAAAACAGAATATATAAACAAAGGAGGATGTGCCTTCCATTTCTAAGTAAAACAACCATTTAAAGCAACTACAACCTAATATGTTTCCTTGAACGTGGAATACAATGTTCCAATGTTGAAGCTGAACGCAGTGCATATCTATCATCTACCAAAAAATCACACAAACGGTGTATCGCATAGAGCTAACTTGAGTGAGCATCAATTTAAGTAAATTTATTTTTCAAATTTGCTCAACCACTAGTAGGTAAGACCACATTTCATGCCACTTTGAATGTGTGATTTAGCTCTTGAAGTGCTATCTGTATATCTCAAATTGAATATTATACCAAGGACGATGGTTTCGCGATAACAAATATAGGCGGCTATGGAGGGGATCGTGATTAATTGGATTTACGTATTCTTATGTATTGTATTCCATTCCATTCCTTGTAGATTTATGCTAAAAATAACTTGAAAAAATATTTACAGAACATATTGACGCGGTCTATATTCCACCTGACGTGGATACCTTGATTGACGAAGAAGATATGAACGATAACATAAGTCTACAAGAGTCTGGGGAACCAACTAATATAGTTGGAACTTTCGAGTTACATACACAGAATTATACAGCTATCCTTCAACAGTCCTGTAATTCATCAACTACTGAACCTGAATGGGACTCATCAGATGATGAAACCCTTGTAATATAATGTAAAATATTATGCTTTTTTTGTATCAAATCAAGTTCTATTTGGAAAACAATCTAGTTTTAGTTGTTTTCTGTCGAATTTGAACTTTCTTTGGTATATTGGTATACATCTTGTGTGCCCCAAAACATTATTTCATGTTTTTTCGCAGTGGTTCGTTTACGCACCAGTATTTTTTGTATGTTTCGAGTTTTTTTTTTGACACATTTAATATATTATTAAGTGCAACAAAATAAATAATTTCTGAGCAAAAAACTATTTTTTTTTATTATTTTTATGCTTGGGATAGAACGGGTTAACCTCAGTAGCGTGTCATCAATAAGATGTACTTCTACCAACGAACATAAAGCTTTCCACACACCCGATTTCAAATCTTTCATCTTGAAATCAAAAATGCGCTTCGGCGACGGGGTTAAGCGCGTACACGCCATCGATCATCAACCAGCTATTTGCGTTATCAATATGGACATATTCCGGCTCCCCATAGACATGCCGTCGCAATCATAGGAGGCCGTGACAAAAGCGAAATCGAATTCAATCAAACATCGATGCATGATGTGTTACGTATCATTAAATACTGCTTGCTATGTAATTGTATCGATATATCATAGCTGTTGCATCGACACAAATAATTACTTTTGGGTTTCGGGATCGATGAAAACGTAACGACGGATATTGCCGTGTAGTGGGGAGGATTTTTGTTTGCTCTGCCTGCGCTTTAGGTCTTCGCGGCTGTCATTGGTGGCGGTGGGGATAAATTGCCACAACTGTGCACGATGTCTGACGAAGTCGAATTAGTAGACGACCCGAATGCTTTAACGTTGATACATTCTAACCTATAGACTTCAACTAAGCGGAAGGTTGAAGAAGGTTGCTGAGGCCATTAGAATCTTGACCCATGGCAGGAAGTCATAGGGTTTTGACTTTTTCGGAACTAATCTTTATATATTGCTTCATTCATTGGTTGATGAAAAGGTTCAATCATGCCTAGGCCTGCCGGGCTCAATCCTAATAAGGGTTGCTATGGTTTAAACTTTCTAGTCTCAAAAGCATTTCGTGGTGGTAGTATAAGTATTTTGTAGTAAGATGTGTGAACTTGCCCCAGCACGTAGGCAAGAAGTCTGAAAAGCGAGATGGTGTGAGACTTTCATGCTATTTCTGAGTAAGGTGAAAGAGGTAAAAGTGACGTATAAGTTTTACAGGTTTTTAGATTTTTAGAATCTTATGTTAACTTTTTATATCAAAACGATAATACAAATGTTGCACGTACAGAAAAGACACTGCAACCATTGTAAAAATGTAGCAGTGACGTTCTCCAAAAAGGGAAAAAGCAATGAAGCTAAGTAAAATATAGCTAGGAAAAAGAGTTATAAGGCAACTTGACTTACCATTTTGGAGTGAGAAAATTACGAAATAATATATATTTATGCAGTTATTATTATTATTATTATTATTATTATTATTATTATTATGGGAGTTAACAAAACAGGACATGGAATGATTGTTTGCTGTAGAAATACAATACTAAAGAGGAAGTAATTTAACTTAAAGGCTTGAGCACCTAAAAAAAGAAGCTACGGGAAGCGAGAAACTTAAACGAAAAAAATTGGTGGAACACTTTTTAGACACAGAAGTACCAGATGGGCCACTCTGTACACCTTCATCGTCCCGACGTCTAACTTTACTATTAAACGGTTTCAGTAAGGAAAATATGGCGACGGATAAATTAAAACTTTATGCGAAATCTTGCGCAACTTCTCCTCCAATCTGGCTACACGTTGTAACTGGTGAGGCGCCATTAAATTAGTTTTAACGACAAAAACTATTTTAGTAGCCCGGAAACTTTTACCGGAAAATTTTCATTTCGGGTTTATGCGGCGGCGGGGGGTAGCAAAGCTTGTTAGAAAGAATTTAATAACAAGATAGGCTCGCGGAACATACTATTGCAAAACAAAGCCGTTTCGCAAAAAAAATCGCCCACCGTTTAATTTTGCAATGATTAAATTTGAGATGCGACAGACTTCAATTTTTCTGACGAATTCCGGCTTGAAAATCTTCCGATTTACGCTCTAATCGAATTTCTATCGTTTTCAGAGTACGGCAGGAGAAAAATGGCGGAGCTTGGTGTCCGAAAGCGCAGATCAGTAGCGACGTTAAGGAGTACCTCGAGGTCGACCTTCAGAAGAACCATCTGATGACGTGGACCGAAACCCAAGGTCGGTTCGGCAACGGTCAAGGTCAAGAGTTCGCCGAGGCGTTCCTGGTCGAATACTGGAGGAGTTCCCTCAACCAGTGGATTACGTATAAAGATGCGAGAGGGGAGAAGGTGAGTTTATGCTAGAATACCATTTTTCACAAATTGAAACTTTTTGAGAAATAAATAAGAACTAAAAGTTCAGATTTTCACGAAATTATATATATTGACATGACAATTGTTTCGACAACTTTTTGAGCATTAAAAACGTTGATTTGATGGGCCATCCACCCTATAGTCCTGATTTAGCACCTAATGATTTTTTTACTCCTATATATTAAGAATAAATTACTTGGGCAACGATTTTTGACATCAGAAGAAGCGATTGATGCGTTTAAAAAGCATGTTTTGGTGGCGCCCGACTCGATGTGGGAAAAGTGCTTTAATGAATGATCATCAGGGTGAATGTTAGTCCTCTTACATATTTAAAAGTGATCCCATATCGTATCATATCATATTGCCCATAAAAAAATCAGGTTTTACAAGAATTGTTACAATACGGAGTGATTTATTGGCAAGGGCTCCAAGTCGAAAATTCTAAGTAGATCAATGTCCCGTTATTATCAATATACAGATCAGATTTGAGGTGAAGAGTCCGACTGCAAGCAGTACCAAACAACACAACAATTTTATAAAATGAAAAGCGACATTTTATTTTTTTTTCTTTGAATTTTTTAAAATTAATCATATAAATTTTGAAATTCAGTATAAATTGATAAAAGAAGAGAAAGAGAAAATTCGGGGTTTTGTCCTTAGGGGACGCATTGTTTTTCTATCGTGCTCCTACGGATCACTATGGAACTTTCGCAAAATCGATGTAATTGAATTATTCATGCACCCTGTATAAAACGATTTTCAAATTTCGTCGAACTTCTAACTTAAGGCAAACTTTGGTAAATATTAAAATTTGTACTGGTAACTGCGATTTAACATTATATTTTTTGAAATATCTCGTCCGCCCTGTATTATAGACGAAAACTGAAACTCTCCAATCAAATTATCCCATCTATACCAGTTTTCCATTTATCGCCAATAATTTACCCAAAAAACGGAATTTTTTATGATCTTCTGGATGCTTTACCCATAAACGACACACCCTTCAAACAATGTTCGAAATGGAGGTTATAGCCCTGGATCTCCCACGGTTAATAATGTATTCCCGAAAAGTACAATTTTCACGTTCTTTTAGATCTTTGTCCATAATTGAAAAATCCTATAAATAATCGAAAAAATGTCTGAAATGACAGTCATAGCCCCGGATATCCCGCTTTTCCTGGTGCTAGAAAATTTGCCAATCAGTTAAATAGTTTTTGAGAAAATCATTTTTAAAAATCATTTAGTGAAACTTGATTGCGCTCAAATTTTAGTGTTTAAATGTGGGTACGGACTTTAACTTCATTGCCAAATTTAAACTCGATAGCTACATATTTGAGTCACTTACAACGTTTTCGAATATAGCACAGAATATCCCGAACTCCCTGTACAATATGTGAAAATTTTAAATTAAAACTGTCCATACGAACTATATAGCCATGTAAAAAGAACTAGCAACAGAATCACAGCCTTCTAGGGGGCCAATTTTCAGTTTTTTACAAATTACCGACGCACCCTGTATATTTTTAAAAAAATCATATAGATTAAAGATTTTTTATCCGGATCTTGCGCGTCATTTGGTTCGAGAATTTTTTCAATCGTACACACCTACAGACTTCGGACACAGCGTGTTTCATAGCGATTTATGAAAAACAGAGGAAAATTGAAAAAAACGATGGACGCCACTCTCCGATCGCGGCCATTTCCTATAGGCTGATGTATCTCGTGGACGGTTTAAAAGGAGAAAAATCTCAGCGCACTGGCTTAAGTCGTTCGGAAGTTATTCGCGTTTTTATCAAGCGTCGACAGAGAACAGAGAACGGAGAACGGACAGACAAAAATAAAAAAAAATTTTTTTTCAACCTTGATCATTTGTGTACCAAGTGGGGTGCCCTAGGACGAACCGTTGGCGACATATAAGTTTCGTTGTCAAGCGCGTATACTTTCGAAAAACAAAAAAAAATCGAGGTCATAAAATTTATCATTGGGCTACCCCGTCTCTACGTCTATTTCTTGCGTATGCAGTGTATATACTGGAGTATATCTTTGTGATGATAATAGTGTTATAAAATTATAGTATGATATTGTATGGATATAAATATTATGATAATTCCTGAGTATTTCCTTTGAATTATTTTTATTTACTCTATTTTCTATGCAGCGGTTAAATGGAAAAGCGCAATTTGCAATTATTGTTATTATTAATATTATTTTTATTTTACTCTTAAGATCCATCACTTATTTTAGCTTACTTTAAGTGTTTGGATTTATCGAAATGAAAAATCAATAATTATTTTAAAATTTAACACCCTGCATATCAAAAACAATTAACGTGCGTGTATAATAATAATTTTGTTGATTTTTAAAGCGCTCTCAGAGTTCAGCTACAATAACTGATACACCCTGTATATGTATATGTTGAAGGTAATTTTCAAAAATATCCCCGATCGATTTTCCCGCCAAAAATGTTCCCCCACCTATAAATTCATTATTTCTACTCGGGGTGGGGCGGGGGCATAAATCTCCATCGGTCGTTTATTGAAATGCCCCCACCGCGACGTCTCTAAATAGAAAAAGATGATAGATGTAGAGCCAATAAATTTCGTTGGCGCGTAACCGTATATTATACAGCGGGCCCCCAAAAGCGAATTAAAAAATGGACGCCGAACAGATCGTCGCGGGTCGATTTAAATTTAAACAAAAATTTTAATTTCGGCCGTGTCGCGTTAACTTTTCGACGTCGGCGTCGGATTATTTTCCGCCGACGAAAAAAAATGTTTAACGGGATTTCATTAAAAGTTTGAAAACGCGAGGTGGGGGTGAAATGTAACGGGGACGAAATAGATTTATGACGGTTTATTAGCAAAGTATCAATGGCGGCGCCGACGAACCGGATCGTAAACTTTTTAATCCACTTTTCGCAGCCGCCTCCTAATTGATTTTAAGTTGCTAAACCTTCCCGCTCAGATGAAGAATTTGTGACGTTAATGGAGTGGTTGGTGTGTTGTGTTCTTCTTAATCAATATTGTAATTTAGAAATATATGAGTAACATAAATAAAATAATAATTATTAAAAATACCGCTAAGATTCCTGATGAAGATCCATATTGTGGTCGAAACGTTGAACAGAACAAAGGTTTTATAATTATATATATATATATATATATATATATATATATATATATATATATATATATATATATATATATATATATATATATATATATATATATATATATATATATATATATATATATATATAGTGTTTTCGGAGCGCGAGCATTGAAGATGCCAAGTGAGATTTTGGCGAAACGTCTGCAGGATTCCAGTCGGATGCAAGATTTGCAGGATTCCAGTCGGATGCAGGATTCCAGTCGGAGTTCAACGAGCGAACGGATGATATCCCGGAATATAGTGTCATCATATATATATATATATATATATATATATATATATATATATATATATATATATATATATATATATATATATATATATATATATATATATATATATATATATATATATAAGATATATCGATATATATATATATATAGATAAATAATTATTTATTTATAAATAGATTTTAATCTGGTAAAATGTAGTTTTGGTTGGTTATTCTTTCTATTCCTTTGAAACTAACCTCTTCTTTAATGGAATGGAATGTATTTGAAAGTTCCGCAAATTAGTTTTTGCAATTTATAAGTATTGAGCAATATATTAACGCGCCATCGCTGACTTTCAGACGAAATCCGAATACTGTCCGGACTTAATGCTTTCCAGAAAGCATTTCCTGGATAGAACCTCAAACCATTACCTGTACTGTAAAGGTCACGTCCTTAATATATCCCGACCCAGATCAAAACCGCATCCGTCTACAAACAACGGGACACCTTAAATATTTCATTGCTTTTCCACCTTTCAACGAATTCCCCCCGAAAACGAATAACCCTCATTTTACAAGCGACCCTATTCTTGACGGACGACGGGACCCGTCGTACCTTACGGTGTGTGTAAATTGTCGGGAAACGCACAACCCGCAGCCTAAAAAGACCACGAAACACTTAATCATACTTACAAGTGTTTGTCAACTTTATCAGCGTGGCACGTCTCCAAAAACCCGCCCCGAACCCACACTGTCATTTGTTAATATCAAGAAGACGCCATTAGCATGATCCTCTGACGTGCAGATGTCACCTTGCACGCTAATTCATTTTGCGGTGTGCACGAACCTCTCTATGGAAACGTTTTTACTATCCTTGCTTCAAAAAGAAACATAATTTTTACAATTTCGATCGTTCACTTTTTTTGTCAAAAACACTTAACAAAAATTGTTTTGCAACACCGATGCTGCATATGATGTTGTATAGCAATGGTTATAAATTTTGTTGCTTCAATTTTTCAAAGAAACTTCTATAATACTATCTACATTCCTCCTGTTGTGGTTGTTGATGATAAACCTAACTTACTGACGTTTCGCCAATTATCCTGTTGCCTTCTTCAGAGCTTAGTTGAAACTGTGTTACACAACAGAATCTCCATTTTTTGCTTTACAAATATGGAATTTGTAATTTTTTCAATCCTTTTTTAATATATACTTAATTTTCCTCATTGGCTTATATTTTACTATAAATTGTTTTCCCCGATACGGGTTATATTTTGAATTAGTTATTCAAAGTTGTGTAAATGTTCTGATATTTAGTTTACTAAGCTACCAAACAATTCTTGTTTTAAATATACCCAAATTCAACTGTTGTTGCAGGAACGATAAAATGCGAAAATAATTTATGAATTAGCGAATTAACTAGAATTTAATTTATGAACGACATAGTTAATGATAAACAATAAAAACTATTTAAAAGCAAAGGAAAAATGTACTTATTTTAATAAATTCTCAATTTGTAGCCCTTCTGCTACTTAACAATGTCTTAAGCGATCCGTAAATTCCCTTACAATGTTTTGGAGATCGTTCGGTGTTA